TTTGAAGTCTAGATAGTCTATATTTAGTAATCTGAGAAACCAAGAGTACTTGATTAACATTGTTGTTTCTTCCCAAATCAGTATTCATCAAATGCCTGCCTTTGTGTGAAGTGTTGAGAGAATAAGAGTAACAAGACAGTCTAGGGGCACGAAGAAGTTATAGAGAGAGTAAAGGGACAGTTTCATCCCAGGGCCACTATAGGATGCAGAAAAGGAGTATCCAACCTTGCCAAGAACATTAGGGAGGTTTCTCTTGAGCAGATGACATCAAACCTGAGGCCCAAAGGATTAGTAGGGGTTAGTCAGGTAAAGGGGACTATGGGATGTAAATTTTAACCATGAGAAACACAGAGAGAGATCATGGAAAATTCAGCAATAAGAAGTCAAACAGCTGAGCATGGCAGAGCCCTGGTCTGCCAGGGAAATGAAGATTGGCGTGGTGGTGGGGGGATGTATGGTATGGAATATAAGGCAGATCCTGTGGTATGCTCAGGCTTGAGGTCATAGGAAGACTGGATTGGGAAGGTTAAAGTCTAGAGTTAGGGGCACCACTCAAGGCCAAGGTGGGCAAGGTGATGCGAATGAGAGATGGCTGTTGGTCTGGACCAAGGGGTAGGAGTGAATATGTAGGGGAGGGTGGATTATGGAGGTGTTCAGGAGGAGCAGTGAAGAATGGGTCTTGGTTATTGGTTGGATGTCCAGATGGGGGGGAGGGAGAAAGGCCAAAGCTAACCAGGGTCATGGGCCTTCTGAGGTCTTTCAGGTAATATGGAGTCCAGTAACCTGACTTTGGGTGGAACCGATCCTGTGTTCTCTCAGCATATTCAGACCTCAGAAAAATAAACCACAAATATGCCAAAAATTGTATAGACAGCTTTAACTTTCTACAGAAGTCATGCTTGTGTGTATGCTCATTCTGAGACTTGCAATAGCAGGTTTCAAAGAATGGCTTTAAATTTAATGAAACTTATATTGAACATCTCTGGTGGAGTCCTAGGTGTGAGTTACTGTCTAGGATCTGAGTGATTCTCTTGATTTACAAAGACTAATATAAGAGTTTCTTATTTTTTTTTTCACATGAGAAACAGTATCTCATTTTTCTTGAAAAAAATTTCAAGAAGCTTCTCTCTCAAGGTCGTTCCATATGAGGATGACGTCAGTGTTTGGAGGTGCAGGTTGGAGAATCTCTTGAGCCATACAGATCCCATGTTCCATCGCTGAGTAGTTTTTGGGGCCTAGGATGAGGGCAGTTGTCCTGGACAACCATCAAGTAGCTTATCTTCCTTAATATATGAAAAATAAAGCAATTTTTTCTCAGCTGCAATGGCAACACAGGGCTGGATTCTGGAGATCCTTAGTGGTAACTGTGGAATTGAGGAAAAGCTTAAGAAGGAATAATTATCACTTCAGTTCCAGCTCCAAAAATAACCATTGTTAACAGTTTGGTCTGTATTTTTCTAATCTTTTTTTCCCCCCTAGGTATTTATGATATGTTGTATATACACACTTTTAATTTCACAGAGAATAGGTATTACAATTTATACACTATTTTGTTACCTCCCTGTAGCTATGATTTCCCATGGTTGTTTCAAAAGGAATAAATAAAAGAAAAAGAGCTGATGGGTATCCTGCAGTTGTATTTGAATGAGCAAACAATTTCATCACTAACAAGATTTGTTTGGCATTTGATGAGCCACGGCTGACCACTTCCTTCAAGATGCTTCTGTATGACAACAGTTGAAACGAGAAGTTTCTGTGAACAGACCATCCATGGGCAAATGATATATTCTTGTGCCCTGAGGGATCAGAGAATACTTTTCTCTTTTTGCTTTGCCCTCCAAGCAAACGTTGTAAACTTTTATAATTAGACAGTAAGACTGAATAACCCAAGGGTAGGTAATATGTAACATTGTGAGAAATATTGGAAAAAAGGATACTTTCTGTAGTGACCTAAATTGATTAAAGACTTGCTTGGTTGAATTCTCTTGCATCTAATTTGTATTTTTGTGTCATTTATTATTTTAATGCGTACATATTT